ATTATAAAAGAAGTGGTCATAAGAATTTATTAAGTAAAATTCCTTTCAAACTTAAGTGAATATATGATAATTATTTTATTTTATTTTTTACCCTCCCCCTATGATAATTATTTTAAATATGGCTTGAGAATGAGCCCTCTGCAAAAATCATAATTTTATTAGATTTTTTTTTTTTGAAATTCCAGGTTTTAATTACAACCAGGACAGCTGCTGATAATTTTAGCACCCAGTATGTGTTAGATGGCAGTGGCCACATAATTTCTCAAAAACCTTCACATCTTGGTCAAGGTAAGAGAGTAGCTTTGTAATATGCTTTGTCTTTTTTGTCTTAATAGTTTAGTTTTTAAAAATTCAGTATATTGATTGCTTTGGGTTTGGGCCTGATAATAGCTACTTAACTTCCAAGTGGACAGTCAGCCTGTCCTTTAGCCCCAGTCTCCTGCATACTTAGAACTGGTCTCAAGAGGAACGATGTGAAAGACTTCAGACAACAACATGGATTAGTCACTCCTCTGTAAAAACTGTCAGAGCCTTGTTTTACTCTTACTGGATTACTGTTGACTCTTTTATACATGAAGGGGAATATTTTATTGAAATGCCTAAAACATTATTGATTTAGTAATCAAACTAATAAACCATACCCTCAAGGTATGATTAAACCAATAATTTAAAATGTATTTATTTACAGAGATCATAAAAAATGTGCACAGTAGATAGAATAGTGTTCCCATCATTGTTTCAACAATTTTCAACTCATTACTAATGTTTCATCTAATACCTCACCCACTGCTTCCCTTTTTGTATTATTTACATCAAGTAAATATATTAATTAATTAATTATTGCTATTGGTCATTTAGGGTTTTTTGTTTTTATTTATTTTCTTTATTGATTAAGATATTACATATGTGTCCTTATCCCCCTATTGCTACCCCCCCCTCCAACCTCCCCACTCATGCCCTCATTCCCCTGTTGTCTGTGTCCGCTGGTTAGGCTTATATGCATGCATACAAGTTCTTTGGTTGATCTTATTCCCACCCTCCCCTACCTTCCCTCTGAGTTTGATGCTCTGATCAATGCTTCTCTGTCTGTGGATCGGTTTTTGTTCATCAGTTTATGTTGTTCATTATATTCAACAAATAAGTGAGATCATGTGGTATTTATCATTTTTCGACTGGCTTATTTCACTTAGCATAATGCTCTCAAGGTCCACTCATGCTGTTGTAAATGATAGGTGTTCTTTCCTTTTTACAGCAGCATAGTATTCCATTGTATAGAAGTACCACAGATTTTTAATCCACTCATCTACTGATGGCCACTTAGGCTGTTTCGAAATCTTAGCTATGGTAAATTGTGCTACTATGAACATAGGGGTGCATATATCCTTTCTGGTGGGTGTTTCTGGTTTCTTGGGATATATTCCTAGAAGTGGGATCACTGGGTCAAATGGGAGCTTCGATTTTAGTTTTTTGAGGAAACGCCATACTGTTTTTCACAGTGGCTGCACCAGTCTGCATTCCCACCAGCAGTGCACGAGGGTTCCTTTTTTTCCGCATCTTCGCCAGCACTTGGCGTTTGTTGATTTGTTGATGATAGCCATTCTCACCAGAGTGAGATGGTACCTCGTTGTCGTTTTGATTTTCATCTCTCAGATGATTAGTGACTTTGAGCATGTTTTCATGTCTCTTGGCCTTCTGTGTGTCCTCTTTCGAAAAGTATTTATTTAGGGCCGTTGCCCATTTTTTGATTGGGTTGTTTAACTTCTTTTTGTTAAGTTGTATGAGTTCCCTATAAATTTTGGAGATTAAATCTTTATTGGAGTTAACATTGGCAAATATGTTCTCCCATGCAGTGGGCTTTCTTGCTGTTTTGTTGATGGTTTCTTTTGCTCTGCAGAAGCTTTTTATTTTGATGTAGTCCCACTTGTTTGTTTTCTCTTTAGTTTCCATTGCCCTAGGAGCTGTATCAGTAACGATATTGCTTTGGCATATGTCTGAGATTTTGCTGCCTGTGGATTCCTCTAAGATTTTTATGGTTTTGCATCTTACGTTTAAGTCCTTTATTTTGAGTTTATTTTTGTGTATGGTGTAACTTGGTTGTCTAGTTTCATTTTTTTAGTGTTTTATACACTTACATAATTACATTGTATTTTAATTGACATCTTGTGTTTCTAAGTATCTCTACTATTTACTTCTGAGGGGAAAATAATCTCTTTAGGCTTGTGTTTCACATATCTTCTTTAATCTTTTTCTTACTGCTTACTTCTAATAGGATGTTTAAAGTTGAGAGAACATTAAAGGTATGACCTCTTTAGAGTCATGTCCAAAGGAATTATTAGATCTGAAGAGGGACTTGTGTTTTTGTTGTTTGCCGCTTTTCTCCAATTTGTATTGTAAATTCATTTTTAATTTTGTGGTCTCTCCCTATAATTTATCAGTCTTTTTTTTTTTTTAATTGTTTCTTCCTTTCAGGTGTTTTCTTTGTATGTTTGTTTTATTTCAGAGAGGGAGAAAGAGATAGAAACATCAGTGATGAGAGAGAATCATGAATTGGCTGCCTCTTGCACGCCCCCTATGGCGGATAGAGCTCACAACCTTGGTATGTGCCTTGACCGGAATTGAATCCAGGACCTTTCAGTCTCCAGGCCGATGTTCTATCCACTGAGCAAAACCAGCTAGACTCTTCTCTCCAGTTTTAATGTTAAATTAGTGGATTTATTTTTTCAAATGCTTTGTCTTCATTGAAATTTATTTTCTTGTTCTTAACACCGATGCCAAATTCTCTCATTCTTTTTTTAAAATAAATCTCCAATTAGTAACTGTTAGTTTTGCCCATTAAAAATTAACATTTTTGTATGTACATGGAGTTAATAGAAACTCCCAAGAAAACACACTAACATTTTTCTTTTCTTTTCTTTTCTTTTTTTTTAGATTAGGACACAGAGAAGGCCTTTTAAAATATGATTCCTCTCCAGAAATGCTCTGACCCCAGTTCTTAGAAGTTCAAATTAGGAAACCATTAGGAGTTATTTGAGTGGCTGTCCAGTAGAGTACTTAAAGTAATCTAGTCACCTTATAAAACTTAAATGTATTTATTTTTATCTTATTAGTAGCCGGTCTAATCTGGATGGCCATGACTTTGCATCACTCATATTTCTCATGCTTTCTTGTATTCATCTCCATGAGAACTGTGAAATAACAGTTCTTAAATATGGAAATCTTCGGATCTTTGCCTCTTTTCTGATTGATTTTTCTTTTCTTGCTGACCCACATCTTCTACTTTTAGTGAGATCAGGTATGCATAGTAAGGAATTTCTACAGTCAATTAATGAATTTGATCTTTTGCAATATTTCTTTCACCTTAGAAAACAACATTCTCGGAAAGTCAGTAGTTGCTACACTAGTAGTATTTGCCTTTCAAATATCACTTTTTTCTCCTCATTACAGTTTATTGGTTAGGAAAAGACCTCAAAAAACAAGCTTATTGAAATCCACCAACACTTTAAAAAGCATTTTATGTTTATATTGCCTTAGTGCTGGTAGTTTCTGGGTGATTGAATCACGGACTCACATTTCACCACCAGCTGTCATTCAGCTTCCATTTAAATGTTTTCTGTGTAAGATAAAACTACAGTCCAACCATCTTAATTAATGCCTGTGCATTTAGGGTTCTCATAGATTAATTTCTGCTGTGGTGTAACAGCCTTACTTAGCAGTTACTCCTCATTTCATCCAATAGGATGGCACCTGTAGATAGCCTAACTGTAGGTGCAGGGACAGATTACAATTGTATCTTTTTTAAGCATTAGAAAATTTGTCACCCCTTTAAGAAGTATATTTTTAAATGTTTAAAAATACCGTGTTACCCCGAAAATAAGACATCCTCCGAAAATAAGACCTAGCGCATGGAAAAATAAGACATCCCCTGAAAATAAGATCTAGCGCATCTTTGGGAGCAAAAATAATATAAGACACTGTCTTATTTTCAGGGAAACAGGGTAGTTTACTGGAGATTCCAGTTCCTGTAAAGGTATTTGTCTTATGGATTAATTTAGCCATTTAAAATCATTTATGTGTTTAATAACAGTATGCCATTTAAAATTAACCTTACCTTCTGTTTACTTTTAAGACATTTAAAAAATTGATAAGAAACATAAAATTTAATCTTGAGCTTTTAAATTGTTTTACCAAGTACTAAATTGTTTGTTTTAGTCATATCTTTTTTCTCATTCTATTATACTTGATATGTTATACTTCTATTCTCTTTACTCTAGATAATCATTATTTACCCTCCTAGAAAACTTTTTTTAATACTTCTTCTGCCGTAGGAATTTCTCATATGTCAAAAGTAGGGTATTTAAAGTACTCTGATCAGGATATTTCCTTTCCCTACCCTGTGATTAGAGTAGGGCATCATGTTTTTTATAAATCGCGGCTGTGTTTGGTTGTGCATATACTGAAAGACTTTTTTCATTTGAGAATGGAATGTTATTAAATAGCTTAAGGAAACTGATATATGCAACAATCATACTTCTTTACATTAGGAACATGGATCCCTGCCTGTGTAAGTGACATAAATAGGCATCATGGGAAAATATGACGGAGCACATCACAGGCTGCGCTGGCATGCTGGTGTTTGTAGAATGTGCTAACGTTGGAGAGCTGAGCAGTTCTCTTGTAAAATATGATAGTGTACTGGGGCCTCCTCCCTATTGGCCAATATGACTTGTTCCTTTTTTTTTTTTAAGGCTATATATTTCATTTGGAATCAGCAGTTTTTTATCATTAAATTTTATTCCAATGCATAATTCCTGGCTTATTGGTAATTTTCAGTTTACTCTGAGAGGTTATTTTTAGCTGCTAAAATAATTATTTGTCAATTAACATATATTAGGTATATTGTAGTCTCTGATATATAACATATATTTTAGCATATTTTTTTCTTAAACATTTTGCCCTACTGATTTCTCCCTGCCTTCTTCCTTCATGTCATCTATTCACAGCTACAGTATATGTCCTTACATTTGTCACAGGAACTCACTAGTGGAGAGCACAGATGAGTAAATAAGTAATGACAGTTCAAAGTAGCCACCAGCTGCCAAGAGGAAAGTTAGCAAAATTTTCAGAAAAGAACATCTGAATTTGAAAATGGTAGGTCAGAAGGGATTGCAGTATAACTTTTCAGCAAGATGAATGTAGAAGATTTCAAGAGACCATTGCTCTCTATATAGCAAAGAAGAGAATGCACATAATTTTTAAAACTTGTATTGTTTAAAAACCATTGAAGAACTGTCACCAAGAAGTTTAAATGAATGAAGTTCCAGAGAAAGGGGACCCTTTCCTAGACAGGAAGAAACTAGTGGCCACTGGCATCCCTGGGAGCATTGACTGAGACTGGAGGCATAGCTGGCAACAGAGCAGACCTGCTGCGCTGGACAGGGGATCTTCTGTGGTCCTCGGAGAAGCCAGCTGAATGTTCAATAGCCACATGGGAGCTTACATGACAGATTGGAAGATGGGATCCTCTAATACAGAGCTGGTTCACCTCGGATGCCTAGATTTCTGAGTAACAAGTGATGAAGAAAGTTGGGACTAAGCTGGAGGAAAGAAATATCTTAAGTCTTGCAGTGCTTATGTCTCAGAGCCTTGCTAAAATGAGAGATTTATTTCCATCCTTAAGACATTAGAACCTGGAAGTGAAATGGAACTAAATGAAGGGGCAACTCGCTCCAACACAGATAAACTCTTGATTGTATTGAAGAGATCCACTCTTTAACTGGTTGACAGAGGAAATGCAGTGCCTTCTCTGGGGGAAAGTATTGCCAACTTCATTACCTATTGTCCTTTTATACACAATGTCCGGGGAAAATAAAAATATTGAGAGACACAAAGATAGGAAAATGGAATCCATAATCAAGAGAATGATATAAGCATACCCACAGATGACCCAGATATTTGAATTAGCAGATAAGAACTTTTAAAACAACTGTTATGCTGAAGAATTTGGAGGAAAAATGGTCCTAATTTCATTTTTTTTAAAACAAGAGCTAATTAATAACCCAATATTTAAGCAGTATAAATTTTTATATCTATCTTCAGCTTTTAGTTAAGTAAATTCATAGTTTAAAAAAAATCCTGTTTTGAGTATTTATTCTTCAGAAGATGAAGGTAAATCAAATCAGGCAATTAGATATTTCAGATAAGAATTTTTAGTGGAATAATTAAGGTTATCACATATGCTATGTAAAATAAGCATCAACCAGCAGAATTCTTAAGATACTACATTCTGGTAAGCCCATGTTCCTTTGCAGTGGTAGAAATAAGATTATTCTTGCTTTTACCACAAAGAAGAGAGCACACCTATCCGGTCAGTCCTGTTACAATAGAAGAGTGCAACATAGAATCAGAATAGCAAAGCTGATCTTTGGCCAAAGTTGGAGGAGGACTGGCCTTCAGTGATAGAAGGGGTTAATTACTGATGTACATGGATTTAAAGATCTGAAGTTCCTTCCACATCTAAATATGCTCTCTGTTTATCTACCAACAGGTACAACTGTAACTGCTTTAAGGTTGTTTAAGAACCTGCCTGTAAGAAAGCAATTTTACTCAACTACTAAAAAATGTAAAGATGAAATAAAAAAAGTTCTAGATCTCCTCATAAGCTATGGAATACTTAAACCTGACTTAAGGATTCTTTTTATACATAACAAGGTATGCATTATTGTATTTCTGTAAGATTTTTTTTTGTATATGAAATATTAAAAGGACAATGAATTTTATCTAAAACATGTAAAGAGCCTTCTTAAAATTTGTCCTCATTTGTTTAGTTTAATCTCAGTAAATAGTCTTTATCTTGTTACTTAATATCTATATAAAATCTGATGGAACCTTTCATTTCTTAATTTCTAAGATCAGGATTCCCCCCAACAGACTCTTTCACGCAAGCAATGTTTCTGTGCTTCCTAAATCTGAAGATAAATAAAGATTTGTTCTTTCCTTTAAGGAGTTCGCAATTTAGTGACATTTTTCATCAACTGTTCTAACCCCTTCCTTCTTTGGAAGAGTTTATTTTTTAAAGGAAACTTTACCTTATTTTCTCACATTTTTCAAAGCAGGGCTGATGAGGAACTCTTGCTGCTTGATGAATCTTAGGGAAAAGAAAGGCTTACATAATTTCTAACTATTTTGTTTTTCATAAAATTTGACCTATGTACCTTGAAATAAGTAACGGAAGGAGGGCAGAACCACACAGCAGAAGTGTGGAAGCCTGATGGGGAGTAAGGAGTTTATTGAGAACCCACATAACGCCAGGACCTGTGTAGTACGTTAAACTCCTATAATCTAGTCAAGTGAGGTAGGCATACCAGTTTTGAAGTTGTCCTCTGAAATGAACTCAGGAAGGTCCCATACTTCACTCCGTATTGCATGGCTAGTAAATTGTGATGGGATTTGAAACTAACATGCCTACAGAGTGCAGGTCTTTACACTCTGTTGCTTCCCATTTTAATAGTACTTTATCAATAGCAATAAAAGTGTAATATGCCAATTAGACTGACGTTCTTCCGGATGACCTTCCAGACAAAAGCTGGGGCTGCAGCTAGGAGGGATCCAGGCTGCTGCCCGGGGCTGTTAGAGAGGGATCCAGGCAGCCAGGGAGAGACCTCGGCAGCCGCTGCGGCTGTAAAGGCCTACTCTTGCACAAAGCTCATGCATCGGGCCTCTAGTATTTATACAGTCCTTTTGCAGGTTTCAGAGAACTTACCAAACTTTGTGAGTCAGACAGCATTATTTCTATTTGCACGGGTAACTTGAAGCTCAGAGTGATCAAAGGATTTTTTATTTTTCTGAGTGATCAGAGGAATAGTTTTATTTTCTAGTAAGAATTGTTTTCACCCAATTTTCTTTCTACTCCACATGTTTTTACTTGTTAAAATTTTGTATTAAACCAGGCTATGGTAGACTATTTATAATAAAAGTCTTTGGTCATTAAAAAGAAAGGAAAACATTAAGAATAGTCAACCACCTGTTCCTGCTGGCATAGAGCTCAACCAAATGATACCGTGAGATCTCTTCCAGCTCTGCCATGCCATGACTCCTCGGGAAGGCAATGGGTAGCGGCTTGTCCTGCTAATGCAAATAACACTAGGACCTCTTGATCCAATTTGTCTACTAATTACAAGTTGAGTGTAACCAATTAAAAAAAGATCAAAGACAAGAAATAGTGATCAGGAAGAGAAAACTGATGGAAAAGGTAAAATATTAAGATGGGAACTATATATTTATAGAAGTGAGTACAACTAAAGAAGGAAGTTAAGTAACAGAAAACATAATCGAAGAATAAAACAAGATTATTGCCTCAAGTAATGTAAATGAATATTTAAAGTCAAATATATATATATTTATATATACACACACATACATATATACATATACGCACACATAGCTTATAAGCTTTGGATAAGTTTATATTATTTCCTCAGCTACTGTAAGATCATCAGCATAGGTATTTTAAGAAAGAAAAGCAGGGTTTTATCCTGCATGTTACTGTTTTTGGAGGGCAACATGTCTGAACTTACACTGAGCAACCACGAGTCCCTCGATGGCCTTCGGTAACGTCGAGTCCTGAGAGTGTGCTGAGGGTGCTGTGCAGTGACAGTATGTCAGACTATCAAAAGTCTTCCGTAACCTAGGCATCAGCTATTATTGCACAAGGAGACCGTGGACTAAGCCACAGCAAACCGTCCATCTTCAAGCCTTTTTCTCTCAGTACAGATTGTTTTTCTATTTTTTGTTTCTTAATAGTGCTGCTGGGCCTCGAACTTTAAAAAAATATTGTTAAGCTTCCAAAAACAGCATTGCCACATTTTCCTAAATCTTTTTGAACAGTGATTTCCCTTCTGATCTTAGTCTTTTTCTTTTAAGCATGCCTACTCTTATCCTATTTTATGTGCTTTTCTGAAGAATGTTTGTGCCTTTGTTTAAAATTTAAACATGATAATGTCGGCATCTTTTCCTTTTTTGAAAAAAAATTTTGCTGTACAAGCAAACAATCACATTACACATAATATGAGAAGTACTATTGCTATTTTGACATCTTGGATTAGATAGTGTTTCTTCTTTTTATGAAGGTTTAACCTGCCAAGACATTCTTTGAATACTGATAATGTCAATGTTCTTGCCAGTATGGTTATGTTAGAAAGAGGTGTTTTTCTTCTTTCATCATCATGTTCCTTGAAAGCATATTGAATAATAAGACAGCCAAAGGGAAATAATTCACAAGTTGATTCAGTGAGTTTATTTAAATAATTTACAAATGGACTCAGTGAGTTTTTTACTTGGAGAAATTCTAGAACCATTCCTTAGGATGAGCACTACAGTTTTCAACTTTAGTTGTAATAACTGAGTTCCTGTAAAGTCCTGCTGCATATATTTTCATTTGTAAAGTAATTTCCCATAATTAGAAGTTTTTCTCAGTGTGATAATATCTGAAACCAATTTACTATTCTTAGCTGTTTCATATGTACATGAGTACATTTATATATCACTAGTTCAGAACATAATGTTAAATGTATGAGTTCAGATAAGAGATACTTTCACATCTCATACTTGTTGTTTTTCTGTGAATATTTCTTTTGCCCAAAATACCGTGTGGAGTTTTTTTAAATTGTTTGGAATTCAATTTTTGTCTTCATAATTAGAAGGCCACTGATACTGCAAAAGCTAAATTGGATATCATTGATATAAAAAGGTTTTAACTAGTACAAAGGAGAAGTAATTGAAGGAATGACTCCCCACATACCCCGCCTCCAGGTGATGAGTGCTGAGGTTATTGGATCAGTTTATGCATGTTTGAGGTTTCGGAGGATTCTGATAGCTTTGAAGCGTCGACTCTCTGGTGTCGTATCAATCAAGAAAGAGGCAGGGCCTTAGGAACAGAAACCCAGGAAACTGGGCAAAGTTTTGGGGTTTCCTAGGAGGCTACTCCTCTGGGATGATGTTCAAAGATTTGGGGGATGGGGGTGACCAAGAATGAGGAAGGGACTAGTTTATTGGATTATAAATTAAAGGTAAGTGAGTGGTAATTTATAATCTGTTCCTTAAAATCAAAGATTTTTTTTTTTTGCATCTTTACCATTTTATCCTTCTTTGCATCTTTTAGCCTTTTACTCCAATATTTTTTAACGTCCCAGTTTTGTTTCAGCTGTGCTGTGAGGAATCAAGGAAAACTCTTTTGCCCACAGTTGGATCAGTGTTAAAGGGGCACGCCCTTTCCCGCATCCCGGCTAGGGTTTTGGAGGCGGAGTAGTTAAAGAGAAACTTTTCAGGTTAGGGCTGTGCTTTAAATGCTTCCTTTTGAGGGAATTACTCCTTCAGTTCCAACACTGGAAGTTTGGGTGGGTTTTGTTTTTGTTTCTTTTTTAGTTAATGAAGGCAGATGTCTCTCTAGATATATTTTATTTATTTATTTATTTATTTATTGAAAAGCTGAACAATTTTATTTGTTTTATAACTTTACTTTTATTGTTGGCACTATTACAGATGTTCCCATTCCTGCTCCCCTTTGCCCACCTTCACCCAGTCCCCCCACCTCTCTCACACTTCACCCCCTCTCCCCCCCATAATTTAATGCATCTTTCATTCTCCTTTGGCTTCTTCACAGCTGCCAGACTCAGAGCTTTGAGTAGGTGCTCTGAGCAGTTATGTGATGGCCTGCACTCAGAAAGGGCCTACAGTGTAAGTCAGAAAATATTGCAAAAGTGTCTGAACACTTACTAGATGGAAATAATGAAAACTTGTTGAGTGGTTGTGTAATGATATCGATCAATGCTATAGACATTGAGAGGACGGAACGTTTGCTTTGGGCTAGAACACTCAGGGAAGACTTCCTGGTGGAAGTACTCTGAGGGCCTCTGCTCTCAGAATAAGACGACTGCTCTTTCTTCTATGCCTCCATCTGCAGGTGTCATAGGATTCCCAGAACTCATAATCATGGCAAAACCTTAAAAGTCAGAATCTTGCAACTGCTCCCTGCTTTGGGACTATCAGCCTAATATCGTCATGTTTTTATTCCTGTTGCTGTCAGTTAAAACAAGAAGCCTGGGTCTCTCAAATCATCCCTTATCGCCCTTGGCTCTTCCTCATACAAATCATTGCTTTTTCTAACTCTGCCTCACACACCTGCCCATCTGTAGTGCTCATTTCATGGTAAGTCAAGTAAAATCTCCTGTGTCCTTAGCCTCTTCGGTGACCACCTTGCTCCAACTGAAATCTGGCTCTTCCTGAGAACCTTGTATCCCTTGCAGCCTTATCAAATGATGACTAAATAAATGATGATTAAATTACTAAAATATCATTTCAGCCTTCAATCTTGCTCTTTTGGCTCCTAGGTTATTATCACTATAGTTAATTCAGTGTCCCCATAGGTAGTCTTTTCTGGAGTCTCAGATCTTTTATCCCTCTCCTCCAGTGACTTTTATTCTCCACCCTGTCTCAGCCACTGATTCCTGTGGCTACCCTGTAGGCCTAGTCATCGCCCAAAACGACACCTCCTCCATTAATTTCGGTGGTAAGTAGTTTACCTCTGACTACCACCTCGTCTCTCCAGCTAACTCCCTGCCCGTCCTTACACTCTATTGGACCTCTGATCCTGACTCGGCTGCCTTTTAACGGTTTCTTGTCCCTGTTATCCTCAGTTCTCTCCTTTCCCTGCT